GACGAAATGTTATCTGAAAACAAAGAAAAGGAATTGTGAAATTCAACTCAATGCTCTACTTTGAACCATCAAAAATCAACGCATTCAAGAAGGAAATCCAGGAGTAGCCAGACATTACTCACGATCAATATTCTAGCGCAAACTGCAAACTCATTTAATGAAAACTTCGACGAATAACTCATACGAAGATTTTTTGACTGTCTCAAAACCATGTAAATGACTCAGATTTGATTGCTGCTTCCAGAACTGCGCCAGAAACAAAATCCCAAACATGAAAAAGGTTAAAAAAAACAAGAAAAGTTAGAATTTCTCAGGTCTTGGATGAGAATGTATGTGCAACGTGTACATTTGAGAGGAGTTTTGGGCGAGTTGCCACAGTGAAAAATTTCTTCGTTCAGTGAATCTTTGCAACAGAGACACTAACTGCCAATGAAGTTACGCACAAAATCTGTTGGATTACGATTCAGACGAATTTCTTGCAAAGAACATTCACTAGAGGCTGCTTGGCTTATCTTGCTCTGCATTATGCCCAAATGTTGTATGTGAATAAAAATACGACGACGACTTGTCTAGCGATGAGATTATCAGTTGAACGTATCAATGCAGTCAACAGCTAACGTTAGAGCATGTTTTCATTCGATTAGTTGTAGATAATCACGCGTCGAGAATTCAATTGTATGCATAGGTAGGTTTTTATGGATATTATCCTGTAGCATTTTCGCGTTTCGTTCTTCGACATTCCTTCGACATCACTCTTTATTCGTTCATTTATTCGTTTAATTAACCGTTTATTTTTTCACATTTATTTTTCCGTTTGTTCAGATCGACGTAATATACTCGTGTACTGATGACTGATCGATTTGTGAGTGAAGCTGAATTGGAGGAGGCAAAAAAACGAAGGCAAGAAGAATGGGAACGAGTCCGAAAACCGGGCGATGCACTGGGTTAGCAACCACGATAGTACATTTTCATCAGATAACCCGAAAGCACAATATCCTTCAGATTATGAAATTTCTAGCATTTTAATGCTGGAATATTTAGAAGCTCCCGATGAAGAAGTGGACAATCGTTCGTTATACGATCGCTTAAAAGAAGTTCGTGATAAGAAACAAGCTGAATACGATGAAGA